CAAGTCTCCTGCCTCCGCCTCCCAAGTAGCTGGGACCACAGGCGCCCGCCACAACGCCTGGCTATTTTTTGGTTGCAGCCATCATTGTTGTTTTGCGAGTCTGGGCTGGGGATTCGAACCCGCCACCTTAGGTGTACGTGGCTGGATCCCGTCTCTTAAAAAATATATTAGCCTAGCATGGTAGCAAGTGCCTGGAGTCCTAACTTCTTGGGAGGCTGAGGCAGGAAGTGCACTTGAGTCCAGGAGTTCAAGGCTGCAGTAAGCTATGATCATGCCACTGCACTTTAACCTGGGTGACAGAGTAAGACTCTATCTCAAAAAAGAAGTATTTTTTACTAGAAGAAATAATTGTCTTAGTTAAAAAAATTAAGACAATGTATAAAAGTACAAAAAAGGGAAAGTCCAAATCTTACTATTCAGAAGTAACCCAAACATTTTGATGAATAAACTTCAAAACAGCTCTCTATATTATTTGTGGGATACAAACATATTTTGTATTATGCGAGGTCAGACAATTAAGTTAGTGAACTCATCCTAGAGAAAGTGCTCCAGACCTCATTGCTGACTGTCACAGTCACCTTTGAAGTACTCCCCTTGGGAAGCTAGGTACCAATTTCAGCACCTAGTCCACCCTTCCAAGCACTTTTTCTAGATTGATTTTGAGAACTTAATTGTAAGACCTTGTACTGCAACTGCTGTGATGCCCATTCCAGAAAAAGAGTTCCAAAATTGCTTTGACCTCAAGAGATCCTCCCGCCATGGGCTCCCAGAGTATTAGGATTACAAGCATAAGCCACTAGGCTGGTCTTCTTTACCAGTGAGGTCGCACATCTTTTCATGTGTTTATTTGCTTCACAGATATTTTGGTGCTTTGCCTATAGCTCATGGTTGACAGCTCAGACAGAGAAAAATTTGAGGGAGGATGGACGCAAAAGCTCGGAACTGTTTGCTTCAATATAAAGAAGCTCTGGAAAAGGACATCAAAACAGCCTACATCATGGATCACATGATTGGGGATGGAGTTTTAACAATTTCGGAGGAGGAAAAAGTGAAAAACGAGGTAAAGCCTTCTGAGGCCGGCTTAATAATTTAATGCTTTCCTAATTTTTAGAATTTTGTAACTTGGGCTGGGCACGATGGCTCACACCTGTAATCCTAGTACTCTGGGAGGCCAAAGTGAGTGAATTGTTTGGGCTCAGGAGTTTGAGACCAGCCTGAGCAAGAGTAAGACCCCAATCTCTACTAAAAATAGGAAAACTAGCCAGGTATTGTGGTGAGCACCTGTAGTCTCAGCTACTTGGGAGGCTGAGATAAGAGGATTGCTCAAACCCAGGAGTTTGAGGTTACTGTGAGCTGTGATGCCATGGTACTCTATCCAGGGTGACTGAGAGACTCTGTCTCAAAAAAAAAAGAATTTCATAACTTGCATTGTTCTCCACTAATTTATGTCACAAATATATTCATTGTTGTATACTAAACTACTTAAATTTTTTTTTAGCCTACTCAACAGAAACGGGCAGCTATGCTAATTAAAATGATACTTAAGAAAGATAATTATTCCTACATATCATTCTATAATGCTCTACTACTTGAAGGATATAAAGATCTTGCTGCCCTTCTCCAAGATGGCATTCCTGTTGTCTCTTCTTCCAGTGACAAAGATTCAGGAGGTGGAATAACTACATATGGTTTGTATCATAGATACCTTCTGTTGCTATCCCCGTGGTTACATTGCTGCAGATTTGTGTGATTGTAGATGTAATCATCTAAAGAGAGTGTGATCAGCTCACTGAAAAGTGCGTGTGAAAACATCGTAGGGTTTTTTTTTTTTTTTTTGAGATGGAGCCTCAAGCTGTCCTCCTGGGTAGAGTGCTGTGGCATCACAGCTCACAGCAACCTCCAACTCCGGGGCTCAAGCAAGTCTCCTGCCTCTGCCTCCCAAGTATCTGGGACTCTAGGCACCCTCCACAACGCCTGGCTATTTTTTTGTTGCAGCCATGATTGTTGTTTGACGGGCCCAGGCTGGATTTGAACCCACCAGCTCAGGTGTATGTGGCTGGTGCCTTAGCTGCTTGAGCCACAGGTGCTGAGCCTGTAGGGATGTTTTTAATTTAAATCTTTCATCCATATTAACTGTCACGTTTTCTTCTTGCCCAGTGAACTGTTTGCTACTTTTATTATACATACTCTAATTTTTAGAGAAAATAAGGTCCTTATTTAAGTCATTTTTCAGTGATGCATGTTTCAAGTTCGTAGGAAAGAATAAGAATTTTTAGAGATCCATGTTCTTGAAAGGAATTCTATAAACATTTCTCTCTTTGTTTATACTCTCCTAACTAATCTTCACTATGAGAGAAAGACTAGACTCCAGGAGTAATAGGTTGAGCAAGAGCAGGTATAGATGGAGACTTCCAATGTTTATGGCATCTGGAAGGGTATCTATTTTCTGAGAAATCAGAAAGGGAAGTTAATGTGCTAGCCACATTTTATTACTTCTTTTGGAAATTCAAAGCTAAGCCTCAGCCATGCTGTGTTTGGTGTCTGTGGTGTTACCTGAGTGTCCATTTCAAAGTTCTCTTCATTCACACTTGTTTTTGATTTCAGTAAGGACAGTTCTGTGTGAAGGTGGAGTACCACAGCGGCCAGTTGTTTTCGTTACTAGGAAGAAGCTGGTGAATGCAATTCAGCAAAAGCTCATCAAATTGAATGGGGAACCGGGATGGGTCACCATATATGGAATGGCAGGCTGTGGCAAGTCCGTATTAGCTGCGGAAGCTGTTCGAGATCATTCTCTCTTAGAAGGTAAGTCTCTTAGTCTGTTTTGTAGTCTGGTGGGGTAAAAAATATATGTATGATAAATGAACAGTAGAAGCAAGGTACAAAGTTAGAACAAGGAAGGATGTCGTTTCACTTCCTGGAGGAAGAAAATAGACAGGATGGGCTTCCTGAATGAGATGACATTTTTGCTAGAGTCTGGAGAAGATCAAAGTTTGTCTGGCAGACTGTGTAGGGATGGGAGAGCAGGGAAAGTAGGTGGAGCAGTGGATGGTTACTAGAGTGGAAAGTGGGATACTGGGAAGAAGAGGCCTTAAGGGGTACCACTGACCTTCCTAGTGAGTCTGGTGGGTTCTCCAGGTGTTCATTAGAAAGAGTTGTGTGGCTGCATCAACTTTTGCTTCCCTTCATTCATTGGTGAGTTCTCTCTGCATAACATTTCTAGAGGAATTAAAAAACAATTACTGGCCCACCAACCCCGGAATGGATTAACAAGCTGTGGCATATGTGTACCACGGAATATTATTTAGCCATTAAAAAAGACGGAGACTGTACATCTTTTGTATTAACCTGGATGGAGGTGGAACACATTTTTCTTAGTTAAGCATCACAAGAATGGAGAAGCGTATACAGCTATCATTTAATGAAAAAAAAAAAAAAGAATGGAGAAGCAAGAAGCCAGTGTTTCAATTCTAATATGAAGGCAGTAGATGAACTAATATGAAAGGGTGGGGTAGGAGAGCGAGGGAGTTGGGAGGGGGAGGAAGGAGGAGGATGGGGGGTCACGGTGTATAGCACACCTCTTGAGGGTGGGACACAAATAGAAGAGGGACTTTATCTAGCAAATGCAATCAGTGCGACGTAATTCTACCCTCAACGAATCCCAAACAATAAAAAAAAAAAACACTATGAAAAAGAAACAATTACTGGCTTCTAGTAGGCAAGACATCAGCAGTTTAGATGACAGAATGAATGAAATACGCAGCGAACTTCTAGGAGAATTATAAAGATGGAGGCTAGGGCTCGCCTGTTGTACGCACATGGCTTTAGTTTCTACTTCATAGACTTTGTTAGCAGCATTGACTATACTCTTGTCAGAGGGACACTCAGTCCCTCATCCTTGTTTTTTCTCCTCTGTCATTACGGAGAACTTCCTGGGACTTAGTTTCTTGTAAGTTTTTTTAACGTCTACTGCAAAGTCAATAAGATATTTTAGGATAAATTTGGCTTAAGTTCCTTTAGTGTGAAGAAATGAGTTTTCCTTTCAATATTGTGGTAAACTTTCTTTAAAATATAATAAGTAGGCTCGGCACCTGTGGCTCAAGGGGCTAAGGCGCCAGCCACATACACCTAAGGTGGCGGTTTCGAATCCAGCCTGGGCCCGCCAAACAACAATGATGGCTACAACCAAAAAATAGCCAGGCGTTGTGGCGGGCACCTGTGGTTTCAGCTACTTGGGAGGCAGAGGCAGGAGACTC